TAGTTGAGTTGTGTCGATTTAATTCGATCATGCGCTGAGGGATTTTTGTCTAAGTTTTTGATTTCTTTAATTTACTTACATAATTCAGTTTCTTCATTTTTTTCAAATACATAAAAAACTGTTTCAGTGTATCAGATAAATCTCCAGCAGTTGGCCGTTTTTGAGGTTTTGTATTTAAGAATTTATTCATCAGATACAAAAGTAGTTGAGGAACTTTGCATACAATATTTAATTGTAGATGGGATCCCGATTTTAGCAGTTGGTTTGCACTTTCAACAGTAAGTGGGTTCATAAATTCAAAAGTAGGTGGATTTATGAGTTGAGTAGTCAGGTTGTTTAATGAATTTAACCGTGGTAAATTTATTAGTAATGGTTTGGTTCATAATTTTAGTGGTGGATAAGTAGTGATTTCAATTGTAAGTGGGTTGGTCTATGATTTTAACAGTGAATGAGTTCGTCTCAATAATGGGTTGATTTTAATAACGAGAATTTATTTTTGTATTATGTGATTTAACACATTAGTTAATATATACAAAATACAAACGTATTATCAAGTTTTTGTAAAAAAAGTTGTTCCTGTGCCAGAAGAACAGTTACATGCTAGTGCTTTATTTAAAATTTCTTTGGTACATTAGATTTAAATAAATTTTTAATGCTAAATATTTAATTTGAACAGAAGCAAGCTTATATTATAACAATCAGTTTTAATAATTGAATGTGTTTACAGTATCAACTGTAATTAGGTTTGGTAATATATCGTAATTTTATTAATGATTTGGGTTTATCAATAATAAATATTTTACTTTTATTTTACGAGTATTTATTATCCTCTATACAGATTTGATGATTATTTTGTAAATTTATTAATTTATAAATTCAACAAGGAGTTTTTTTTTATTTAATAATATTAACGTTAAAATGATGAATAGGTTAAAAATCATGTAACTTGATTGGTTAATTATCACGGACAATTACAATTAAGATCCAGGGTCAACCGAATATTTGTTAATTAACCGGATATAATAAAAAATTGGTTCGATAAAAATAAGAACCAATTGGTAATTTTTTTTTTCAGTTCAGATTATCGGTTATACGGTAATCCGGGTGGAAACCCCTAAAAATATCAAACATTAATCAATTAATAAAAAAACAATAATAAATTTAGAAATGTTTCGATTACGAAGAGTATACGGTACTTGGAATTTAAGAGCAATGTTCGTTTTCAGACGATGGGTTACCCCACCAAGTTGGAAATGGTACCTGGAGGATAAAATACGTCAAATCATAAGTTATATATATATATATAAACAATTGAATTGATCTAGTAAAAATATAAAAAGAAAATTTACATGCGCAATACCAGTAAGACAAATGAAAGCAACTATTGCCATGATTTGTGCACCACTATCAAATGCTGCCGACATTACATAATTATATCTGTCATGCATTATATAAAAGAATGAGATTATTTCAATTATTAATTAAAAAAATAGAATAAAGAAAAAACCCCTACTTTGTCCACCATCTATAAAATAATCCGATAATAAAAGTTAATTTATGTGTTTAGAATAATAAATAAATTAATCATATGTTCACCTTTTCTTATAACGATATGCATAAAATTGACTCAAAAAGCTTGCAATGAACCCGGTGATTATGAAATTTGGATAAGTTCTAGGAAAAGTAACTAAACCGAATGTTATCACGGGTATATTCACAAGATTAAATTTTGCCTTTGGAAATTTTAGATGAAGTAAATAAAATGGTATTGGTAAAAAACAACCAATTAGGAAGCCCCAAAGGAGTATATGATAAATTGAGTCAGACTACCAAAACCACAAGGAATACGTATTAGATTCAAAAGAAATACTTGACTTTAAATTACTGTGATATTGTGATACTTGTTTGAATTGACATACCCCTAAAACCCTTGCCGGTCCAATCAATCCCCATACTATAGATGCAGTATTGAATACTGATGATTGAAGGCCAGCCCACTATTCACACGAGTTGAAAACATTCTTTTTTAAAAAACTTTTTTTTTTTTCAAAAAGAAAAATATCAGACCTAATGATAATAAAAATAAACTACTTACTTGACCAGATGGATCGTTTTCTGTACCATCAAGGTAAGGTCTTTTAGCCTGAATTATAATACGCATCGTCCAATAGTTTACAATTATACCAACAAATGTACCCCATATTTGTGATGTGAACATGCTTCTTGGAGGAATTTTCATATAATGACCTTTTAATGTTTTAAAAGAAAATTTTAATAATAATATTTAGATAACCTCGACAATTTCAACGATAATAATTTTCTTTTATAAAAGGGACAAACCTAATTTTAGATCTTGAATAAATAA